GTGTGTGCGAGTCCAGACGCTGGTCCTGCATCAGATCTGGAGTGTGTGTGTGTTTGTGTGCGAGTCCAGACGCTGGTCCTGCATCAGATCTGGAGTGTGTGTGTGTGTGCGAGTGTGTCCAGACGCTGGTCCTGCATCAGATCTGGAGTGTGTGTGTGTGTGCGAGTGTGTCCAGACGCTGGTCCTGCATCAGATCTGGAGTGTGTGTGTGTGTGCGAGTGTGTCCAGACGCTGGTCCTGCATCAGATCTGGAGTGTGTGTCAGTGTGTGTGTTTGTGTGCGAGTCCAGACGCTGGTCCTGCATCAGATCTGGAGTGTGTGTGTGTGTCCTGCATCAGATCTGGAGTGTGTGTGTGTTTGTGTGCGAGTCCAGACGCTGGTCCTGCATCAGATCTGCATACCTGCCAACTTTTGAGTTTGGGGGGGGGGGGGGGGGTAGAGACGAGTGAGATTTGTTGACGGGGGGGGGGTGTATATAGATAAACTCATCTTCCAGGCATTTGACCGCCCGGGTTGACACTTCAGCGTGAGAAATCGGGAGTGTGGCGTGTGAGCGTGTGAAACCAATCAAATGCGGGTGTCTCACGGCCAATGCGTGAGAGTTGGCAGCTATGGATCTGGAGTGTGTGTGTGTGTGTGTGTGTGTGCGAGTCCAGACGCTGGTCCTGCATCAGATCTGGAGTGTGTGTGTGTGTGTGTGCGAGTCCAGACGCTGGTCCTGCATCAGATCTGGAGTGTGTGTGTGTTTGTGTGTGTGTCCAGACGCAGGTCCTTCATCAGATCTGGTGTGAGTGTGTGTTTGTGTGTGTGAGTGAGAGTGTGTCCAGGCGCAGGTCCTTCATCAGATCTGGTGTGAGTGTGTGTGTGTGTGTGTGAGTGAGAGTGTGTCCAGGCGCAGGTCCTTCATCAGATCTGGTGTGTGTGTGTGTGTGTGTGTGAGAGAGAGTGTGTCCAGGCGCAGGTCCTTCATCAGATCTGGTGTGTGTGTGTGTGTGTGTGAGAGAGAGTGTGTCCAGGCGCAGGTCCTTCATCAGATCTGGATCCGGCGGACTGCGGTAAACCTCAGGATAAACAGCGAGACTAATATCAGCGTAGACGCCATTCTTCGTATGATGTACATCAGGATTTAAGGGAAGTGTTCCCAGTTCCGGCTGACCTAATCTATGCAGCCTAACATTGAATTATAGAAGTCTATAATGTGTTATGTGTATGCTAGGTCAAAGAGATGTGTTTTTAGTCTAGCTTTGAACTGACAGAGTGTGTCTGCTTCCCGGACAATGGTAGGAAGACTGTTCCAAAGTTTTGGTGCTAAATAGGAAAAGGATCTCCCGCCTGCAGTCGATTTAGATATTCTAGGTATTATCAACTGGCCGGAGTTTTGAGATCGCAATAGACGTGAAGGACTATAATGCGTTAAGAGCTCGCTCAAGCACTGGGAGCTAAACCATTTAGTGCTTTGTAAGTGATCAACAATATTTTAAAATTTAGACGATGTTTAATAGGCAGCCAATGCAGTGTTGACAGAACCGGGCTAATATGGTCATACTTCCTGGTTCTGGTAAGAACTCGAGCGGCTGCGTTTTGAACTAGCTGTAGTTTGTTTATTAAGCGTGCAGGGCAACCACCCAGTAGAGCATTACAGTAATCTAGCCTTGATGTCATGAACGCATGAACTAATTGTTCTGCATTTGTTAGTGAGAGCATATGGCGTAATTTAGATATATTTTTAAGATGGAAAAATGCGGTTCTACAGATACTAGACACGTGACTTTCAAATGAAAGATTGGTATCTCAGAGCACACACACACACAGGTTTCTAACCGACGACGAAGACTTGACAGGGCAGCCATCAAGTGTTAGACAGTATTCTGGGTTATTACATGATGAAGTTTTTTGTCCAATCATTAGAATCTCTGTTTTTTCAGAATTTAGTTGTAGGAAATTACTAGTCATCCAATTTTTCCCAGCACACGTCAAGCACACGGATCCCAGCACACGGATCCCAGCACACGTCAAGCACACGGATCCCAGCACACGGATCCCAGCACACGGATCCCAGCACACGTCAAGCACACGGATCCCAGCACACGGATCCCAGCACACGTCAAGCACACAGATCCCAGCACACGTCAAGCACACGGATCCCAGCACACGGATCCCAGCACACGTCAAGCACACGGATCCCAGCACACGCTTCAGCCGGAAGAGGCTCGTCTGCACCTGTGGAAACTGACGTAGGCCTTTATGTAGGACAGATTCTGAGCGGGACATTATTCAAGGTTATTTAAAGACATGACAAAAGTAGGCTAAGCGTCACGTGTCGACTCCCGAAAGAAAAACACTAAGTCAAGCGGTGTGATCCTCAAGATTAATAAAAGACCGTAATATTGAAGATAATTGTCCATAAATTCAGCATTAGAGGTGGTGCGGTTCAGAGATACGCATTAAAACCCTTTCATATGTAAAACACTATATTTGCCTGATATATGCCTATATAACCCTAACCCTGCTCAAAGTTCAGCATAAACACCAGTTGATGTTTGTGATTCCAAGCTTTATGTCCCTCCAACCTGAAGCATCTGATATGGACATTTTACTGACTCGTGGATCCCGAGAAATCAGGGTTTGGAAGAGTAAACGATGATTGTAATTGCCTATTATCACTGTAAAGCTGCTTTGAAGCAATCTGTTTTGTTAAATGCGCTATATAAATGAAGGAAACGGAGAGTAAAATACTGTTTTGAAGCACTATAACTGTTTTACAGCAGACTAATGACTGTCTGGTTGCTTATAAACCAAAAACACAAACATGCAGAACACAGACTGGTCTGAACAGATCTCACTGGTTCTGGGATCTGGGATCAGTGTATGTTAGGGTTAGTGTTAGCAAGCCTTGCATCATGATTAAACACTACACTGTAAATGGCTTTGCAACAAACATAAATAAAGCTTTTTGTGGTTTCCACTGAGACATTTCCAAGGTAAACGACTATAAAACAAGAAAATGAATGAAGGCTTGTGAAAAGTGAGTCCATCACAGGAGGACATTATGATTAAAGACTATACATGCACAGACGAACCATGTACAACAAGACCAAAAACTAAGAAAATAGTTTCATTCTAACTAAGGATATTTCAATCGAGAAAGAGTGCGGACGGTCCGGAATGAAACGCGGATCACACGGAGTCAAAACACTGAGCTCCGGCCAATCATTCTTCAGAGATAACAAGGAAAACAAGCGCATATATATAAACCCGTCGCTCTATTTTCTAGACATATACACCCCGAAAGCATTCGCTCACACATTGGCAAGATATAAAAGCATTTAAATGAGTAAAGCACTAGTTTAGGTCATCAGCTGTGATGTCACGGTCCTTCAGCAGGTTTGTAGAAGAATGTAGAAGATTAAATCATCATCAAATGATTCGAGGTCATTGTAAAACGGCACTTATGAAGTGTTGAGGAAAGCACTGATGTTTGTCACACGAAGTCAGAGGGAAAACACGGACCGACACTCGAGTGCAACAGAGGTTTATTATCAATTATGCTCTAAGGACATCAACAAGCTTTATGCTATTGTAATATGAATATCAAATTTCACTGCAATAAAGTGCAAGTCCTTTTGACTGTACATTTGTTTCATTTACTAGTGTATTGTGCCTGTAAAAGAATCAGAAGCCCTTGAGTTCAAACTGCACAAATGTGAAGTTGAACTTAAACTACACAGAGCTGAAGATTCATCATCATCATCATCATCATCATCATCACCACCACAAAATAAACTCGACTTCAAGCTAACGTCGGTATAATATTTCTGTCTGATCGGCTCAGACGGGTAAACCGTTAAACTTCAGCTCATGCGGTGCAATAACTATAGGGCCAATGGTTTGGTTTTTACAGCTCGTCCGGGTTCAAAGATCAAAGATTCAAAAGAGACACACTTCCACGGTCCTGACGGCTAAACAGGCGATTTAACCAGTTCATGATCGAGATTAGGAGACGGTGAAGAAATAGATGAATGTATAGTAACAAAAAACAGGCATTGACATGAACACGTGGCACGATCCAGTTACACAGAACAGTCCCGATATACAGCCTGTGCATAGGAAGAATAAAAGCACTTATGGTATCTGCAAACATTAAGCACACATCATCATTGTAATGCTCGTTTATGCTGGAGGGGAGCGATGACAGCATTCCAGTCCACTGGAGAAACGGAACCAGCGCAGGGAACCGGCGGGTCGAGGACGGGTCTGGCGGGTCCTACCGTCTTTGCATAGAGATAGAAAGAGAAAGCAAACCTGTCGACAAGCGGCAAGAAACACAGAACAAATTCAACAGGAATCCGAGCAAAGATGGTAGGACTCTGTTGGAAGCGTTGCATGCCAATCAGCAGAGCAGGAGCCCAGCCAGAGCCCAGCCGAAGCCCAGCCGAAACCCAGCCAGAGCTGAGCCGAAACCCAGCTGAAGCCCAGCCAGAGCCGAGCCGAAGCCCAGCCAAAGCCCAGCCAGAGCCCAGCCGAAACCCAGCCAGAGCCGAGCCGAAACCCAGCTGAAGCCCAGCCAGAGCCGAGCCGAAGCCCAGCCAAAGCCCAGCCAGAGCCCAGCCGAAACCCAGCCAGAGCCGAGCCGAAGCCCAGCTGAAACCCAGCCAGAGCCCAGCCAGAGCCCAGCCGAAACCCAGCCGGAGCCCAGCCGAAGCCCAGCCGAAGCCCAGCCAGAGCCCAGCCGAAACCCAGCCAGAGCCGAGCCGAAAGCCCAGCTGAAACCCAGCCAGAGCCCAGCCAGAGCCCAGCCGAAACCCAGCCGAAGCCCAGCCGGAGCCCAGCCGGAGCCCAGCCAGAGCCCAGCCAGAGCCCAGCCGAAGCCCAGCCGAAGCCCAGCCAGAGCCCAGCCGAAACCCAGCCGAAGCCCAGCCGGAGCCCAGCCAGAGCCCAGCCGAAGCCCAGCCGAAGCCCAGCCGGAGCCCAGCCGAAGCCCAGCCGAAGCCCAGCCAGAGCCCAGCCAGAGCCCAGCCAGAGCCCAGCCAGAGCCCAGCCGAAGCCCAGCCGAAGCCCAGCCGAAGCCCAGCCGGAGCACAGTCACTATCTGTGCAGCAGCACGAAGGCCTCGAGCCGCTCGGGGATGTTTCCGCGGTACGCCAGGCCGTGTTTGACGATGGCGCGCGCGGCCAGACACTGCAGGGTGGTGTGGTTGATGGGCTGGATCAGGTTCTTGGCCATCTCCTTCTCGTCCAGCAGATCGCAGGCCGTCTGCTTGAAGGAGTTGGTGCTGTCGAAGTGCGTGCCGCAGGAGATCAGCAGGTTCATGATGTCGGGGTGGTTGTTGGACGCCGCCACGTGGAGCGGGCTGTTGTCGTCCTGATCCCGAGAGTTCACGTCCGCGCCGCACTCCAGCAGGATCGACGTCACCTGGGGGGAGGGGGCACTTTCAGAAACACTGTATTCGAATATATGAGCTCATAAAAATAGAATATTCAAATATTCGTTTATTTATATATCAACTTTACGATTAGGCAATTTACAAAACAAGCTTATATTTTATATCTTAAGTTTTTTTTAAATTTAAGACATTAAATAATATGTGTAAACAAAAAATATAAAGAACAAAAGCATTTAAGCTCAAGCAGCGCTAACGGAGTAAAGCGCTAATAAAGCAGACTGTGCAGTTATCGTACAGAACGTGCATATACACTCGAGTCCGCATATGGTTATTGAGTTTATATTTATTTATTGTTGGCATTATCGTGTTGATATGGTTTCACGTGTTGATGTGGAGCAGTAATATGGCGCAGTGGATAAGACACATGCCTTTGATGTGAGAGACCCGGGTTCGAATCCACTGTGAGACACCAATGTGTCCCTGAGCAAGACACTTAACCCCTAGTTGCTCCAGAGGTGTGCGACCTCTGACATATATGGCAATTGTAAGTCGCTTTGGATAAAAAGCGTCAGCTAAATGAATAAATGTAAATGTAAAATGTAAATGTAATATCCAGGAGCTCGAGTGAGAACGCGCGGACCGGCGTTCAGAGACACAGATAACAGTGTGTGGAGTTTCTAACAGCTCTGTGTGTTTCTGTTCTTAAACCGTCTCACTCGACGGAACTTGAAGATAGCGTATCACACGTGTCGAGATCATTTAGCTGTCAGTGGAGATCCTCTCGGCTCTCGGTGATCGGCTGAGTTTGCCTGCCGTCGGGATATGGACTGTCCTCAGTGCACTGCTGTCTGCGCTTCATGTGATCAAAAGTGATTAAATTTCGTAAGATAATTTTCATCTAAGTAATTCAAACTTCGCGAGGCAGGCGACGACTGCATTATGAGATCTAATACAATCAACGAGCACCACAGTGCATTTAATCATAGGTTTCAGCGCCTGGGATTCATCAGGGATTCGCTGCATTTACGGCCACAAAGCAACACTGTAAAATTCAAACAGTATTTTTATTTTCCTAATAATAATAATTGCAGGTCGATTATGCATGCACAGCCCTACCTGGAAGGAGGGGAACTTGCAGACGGGGTATCGGCCCACACAGGTGGTGTTGCGGTCCACGGCCAGGTGAAGCGGGCTGAACCCGTTCTTCCCACACGCCTGCAGCTTCAGGAACTTGTAGATGGTCTCCTTCTTGAAGTGGTCCTGCTCCACGGCACACGGCACCTTCTCCAGCAGGCAGATGAGGTGCAGGATGATGGACAGAACCTTGCCGAGCTGGGCCGGGTCCGGGCCGGGCCTCTTCACGGCCCGCTCGATCTCCAGCACGCTCTTGCTGAGGATCTCCATGAGCTCGTCGAAGGACACGGAGGTTCCCAGCAGGCCCTTGGCCCGGTCCTGCAGCATGAAGGAGAAGAGTTCTGCGAAGGAGAGGAGGCTGCTGGCCGTCATCGGGCTCAGCGGGTCCAGGTTGTTCTGCTGCATGTCTAAGGCGTACTTCCACAGCTTGATGCATCTCTCGAAGTTCCCCGAGTCTGCGTACACGGCTCCCCGGTAGCGTATGTAGTAGGAGGTGTCGGGGTGCGCCGGGCCGAGGATGCGCTCGCGGATCAGCAGCGCCTGCATGCGCATGTCGTCCGGGTCCGCGATCAGCGCCTCCAGCTCCTCTAAACTGTTCACTTCTCTGGTGTGATCGTACGCCGGCACCGGCTTGGGCTTGTCCTTGGAGAGCACGTGGGTCGAGTCGCTGTGCCGCGAGTCCATGGCCCTCTTCCAGTACTTCAGCGCTCCCAGCAGATCCCGCTTCTTGTCCACGAAGGTGGCGCCCAGCAGCTCCAGGGCGTTGATGCGCTCGGCCCGGCCCGTGTGCGGGTGTGTGGTGAGGAAGTCCACGATGTTGGTGTGGCCCGTCACGCTGGCGGACAGCAGCGGAGTCATCCCGTACCCGTCCTTCTCCATGCTGGCGCCGTACTTCAGGAGCATCTTCATGATCTCCAGGCTCCCGGACTCGGCGCAGTCGTGCAGAGCCGTGTTCCCTGCGGGACAAACAGGCCGTCAAGGTTGGCGTTAAAAATAATGTTAATTCAGACAAAAACAGGATTATTTTTATGACCCCATTGGCAGATAATTTTGCTTTTTTTAAGCAAGAACTCTTAATTTTGATTTATTTCCCCCAGAAAACAAGACATCATAATATCTTATGGGATTTTACTCTTCTTGTAAATGCATCTTGATTTAAGATTTTTTTTTTGTATTTGGACTGGAAACAAGACAAAGTTAAATACTAAACACACACACACAGTGTAATCACCACGGGGAAATCTCAGAGTAAAACTGAAGAATATGATACACCGGTGTTTTGCCAGATGGGAAGTTTATACATGCATCATCTTTTACTCTTTAATTTATTTTATAACTGTTTTAATTTTCCTTGCTTTCATTTTGTGATTATTTTAATTCATTTCTGTGTAAAGCACTTTGAATTGCCATAGTGTATGAAATGTGCTATATAAATGAACTGGCCTAAGTTAAGAAAAGCAGTTTTGCAGTGTAGATTTAAATGTGCAGCACAATCAGAACCAAACGGACTCGCTTACAATCATTGGGATGAACTGATCATGAGTGCACAATGAGCGCAGGTCTTCAGGTCCTCGCACACGGAGTCCGAAATTCACGTCCGAAATTTTGGCACGTTAAAAAATAAATACGACCTCGGGTTATGTGAATCAGGCTTGCACACCGCCACTGAAACCTTCGTCCGTCATAAAAAAATCGTATTGGGTTTGATTTTCTGCGTTTTCGCATCCGTAGCTCGAGCTGTTTGAATGGCGTTTGGACGATTCAGAGCCACCGGATCACCAATACGAAAAAACCCATACAGAAATGTCGGACTCGGTGTGTGACGGCCTTTTAAGTAAATCTGGTGGTGCCAATTTTTTATCGTCATCATCATCATCATTATTACATACGATGCCAAGAAAACAAATACCGTATCATGCTGACATGAAGAAAACAGAATTAAATATTTAATCGCAGTCATTTGTATGACAATTAATCATCAGCACAAAGGGTTGCATAGTAGTCAATATATCTCAATTAAAAACTGCATCAATCGTGGATAGTGACGATATATCGTGTATATTCACCCAAAATGAAGATTACTGTGTGAGAAAAAAATCAAGTTTTTTTATTGTCAGGACTCACTACATTACACTACTATATATAATGTTGAATATAATGTATAATAATGTGATGGGGGAATATCTGTGGCTCCTGATACTGTAATGCCAGATGTCTGATGTTACCAGTGGAAAGTGGCCTACATTATTTTAAATATATCTAGTCAGAGATCAATCATATTCATCTAAAACAATTCTGTATTTTCAGCTTCAGAATCATGAATATTGTTATTCTGGTGTCCCAAGTCCAAGAATATTCATTTACACCCACAGTGTAATACCTAATTTAGCATTTTAATCAACTACATTTTTTGTAAACCCATTATCAGGCTCAGTTTACTGTGAAGCTCGAGGTCGGGCCAGATCTGTTCTGTGCGGACCGAGTCAGTCCTATATCTGGGAGGTGCGGATTGGCTCGAGTCCTCTCCTAGAGCTCCTGCGGGCGACTTCAGGGAGACTGAGATCTACAGGCGACGAGAGAACACCACAGACATCGACATGGGGAGCTCACGGTGAACAGCGGCTGAGGAGCGCCAGTGTTAGCCAGATGAGAAGGTCATCCATGCATCATCTTTTTACTCTTCATTCCTTTTGTAACCGTTTTAATTGTCCTTGGTTTTATTTTGTGATTATTTTAATTACTTCATGTGTAAAGCACTTTGAATTACCATAGAGTATGAAATGGAGTCTTGGAGTATCGTAATATCGCATCGTGAGTTCAGGACGGTGATGTGTAGTGAATCTAGGCATGTGACGGTGAGGATATTTTCCCACCGGTTAATCGACGTGACAACACCGGTAATACCTGGGGTTTTAAATCGCTAATTTAAAGGCAAAAGTAAAATGTTCGCGTCCACACGGGCATTCATAATGGTGCGGAGCAGCGCTGTTCTGTTGTTGTGTTTTTCATTAAGAATAATAGGCTAATGAACTCGCCATTCAAGCAATATAGTTAATCTATAGGAATGAACTGGAAACGCTGGCTCTATTCTGCTCGCTCCCGCAGCCGCGCGCGTTTTAGTTTCTCTTTCAAATTAGCGCCAATTCGGGCGCAGATTGCTTGAATGGTGAGTTCATTAGCCTATTATTCTTAATGAAAACCACAACAACAAAACAGTACAATGACTTTTATATTCCGCTTTTACACCACATATCCCGCCGTCATCTCGTCAGTCAGCTCCTCGCCCTCGAGATTAATGAGATCTGACACAGATAAAGATCTGTGCGGCGACTCGTGATTTATGAAGCGTTCAGGTTAATAGTGTCTGTTCTCCGAGTGAAGATCGCATCGCCGGTGCCGCGGTGGGCAAGTGATGCAACCGGTGCTGCTTCTGAACACCGTCAACACCGACTACCGTAGCAAGCTTAACTTAATCGTGACACGAGGGTATCGTTACAGAGATAGCGCAGAGCTAGCGCCTGGTACCTTTGACGCTCTTGCGGTTGACGTCGGCTCCTCTCTCCAGCAGGAACTGCGCGATCTCGCGATGGCCTTTATAGCAGGAGATCATCAGGCACGTGTGTCCGTGTCGGTTGGCCACCTCCAGGTCCGCCCTGTGCTCCACCAGGTAGCGCACGATGTCCAGGTGCCCGTCGAAGCAGGCGGCGCGCAGCGGGGTGGAGTTGGTGAGGGTGGTGTTGTTGACGGAGGCTCCGTGCCCCAGTAAAGACTGCACCACCTTCAGGTGTCCGGCGGCCGAGGCGGCCCACAGCGGCGGCGCGCCCTCGATGATCTCGCCGTCGAAGTTCACGGAGCCGCCGAGCTCCACCGGCGCGCAGCAGCGCTCCATCAGGAACTCCACCAGCTCCAGGTGCCCGTAGCGGCTCGCCATCAGCAGCGGCGTCGCTCCGCTCGTCTTCTCCGCCATGAGCGTCAGCACCTCGTGATCGCTCTTGTTCTCCAGGAGCTTCTGGAGGAGTCGCAGTTTGCCGTCTCGGGCTGCGTTGAAAACAGCCGTTTTTAGATCCATGGCATAGAGTTGCTCTCCGTCCTGCAGACAGAATCACACACACGTTAATAGCGCTGTCAAAAGTACCGACTTCGGTACACGATACGACATTATCACGATACTGACCTCACGACTTGATACATATCACAATACGATATTATCACGATACTGACCTCACGATACGATATTATCATGATCCTGACCTCACGATACTGACCTCACGATACATTTCACGATACTGACCTCACAATACGATACACATCACGATACTGACCTCACGATACTAACCTCACGATACGATACACATCACGATACTGACCTCACGATACATTTCACGATACTGACCTCACGATACGATACACATCACGATACTAACCTCACGATACGATACACATCACGATACTAACCTCACGATACGATACACATCACGATACGATACACATCACGATACTAACCTCACGATACATTTCACGATACTGACCTCACGATACGATACACATCACGATACTGACCTCACGATACATTTCACGATACTGACCTCACGATACGATACACATCACGATACTAACCTCACGATACGATACACATCACGATACGATACACATCACGATACTAACCTCACGATACGATACACATCACGATACTAACCTCACGATACATTTCACGATACTGACCTCACGATACGATACACATCACGATACTAACCTCACGATACGATATTATCACGATACTGACCTCACGATACGATATCACGATACTAACCTCACGATACGATACACATCACGATACTGACCTCACGATACGATATCACGATACTAACCTCACGATATGATACACATCACGATACTGACCTCACGATACATATCACGATACTGACCTTACGATACGATACACATCACGATACTGACCTCACGATACACATCACGATACTGACCTCACGATACGATATCACGATACTAACCTCACGATACGATACTAACCTCACGATACATTTCACGATACTAACCTCACGATACATTTCACGATACTGACCTCACGATGTGATATTATCACGATACTGACCTCACGATACATATCACGATACTGACCTCACGATGTGATATTATCACGATACTGACCTCACGATACGATATTATTGCGATACTGACCTCACGATGCGATACTCCAAGACTATGATAAAAAGTTAATAAAAAATGTATTTGATTAAAATGCTAAATTTGATATTACACTGTGTGTGTAAATGAATATTCTTGGACTTGGTGCTGGAAACCCAAAGCATGATTCTGAATCTGAATCTGAAAATTCAGAATTATTTTAGACGAATATGATTGATCTCTGACTAGATATATTTAAAATAATGTAGGCCACTTTTTACTGGTAACATCAGACATTACAGTATCAGGAGCCACAGATATTCCCCCATTACATTATTATACATTATATTCAACATTATATATAGTAGTTTAATGTAGTCCTGACACTAATACTCTGAAAACTTAGTAATTTTCATTTTGGGTGAACTATCCACGATACATATAGCATTTTTGTATTGCGATATATTGTGACGCCTCTAGTGTTTGGGAATATTCGGAGCGCTCGTGTTAAACTAAAGCAGACGCTATGGGATTCACGGAGCGAGTCTTCACTGTCGTACAGTAAATGATGACACAAGGGTTTGTGTATCAGGTGTAAATGTGCAATCAGAACCATGACGCTTCAGGACTGTAATATTAGAGTCTTTTCTATAATTATGTAATGTTATTTAAAAGACACTTGATTTTCAGTAATATGATTGATCTGACTGCAATGACACTATCAGATCTGATTAATGACTCTTGTTTTCTGTAGAACTGCTTTATAACAGAATCGAACTCATTTTATAATTGATAAACTACAGTTATTGATCTGAACTGAATCAACAAGTCAATCAAGTCAAGTCAGCTTTCAAATAGACAAATTCAGATCAAAAACAGTGTCAATGTTGCCAAATTCGTCAATTATGACAAATCTGATTCAGCTATAAAACTATAAACTGAGTTGAATGATGTCATGAATTAGTCTCATGTTTGATGAAGTTTGCATCATTGGTTCTGTTATTTCCTGTTTATTACTGAGAATTTGTACTGTTATAGAAATAAACTGACTTGACTAATACTTAGCCAATAAATCATATGAAATGTTTTTGTCACGTGACAATGACACATCTAGGTATATAATCACATACTATACAATGACGATCAATTATACAGTTTAGTGTCATTATACACCAATACCTGACCAACAGAGAGGGTCATTATTTTCATCAGTGTTTCTGTCATATTGCCTGTATGTCTGCCATCATCAGCAGTGTTTATCTGCTGTTTTAACCTCATTAAACCGTGTTTATCTCGGGTTTTCCCTCATTAAACCGTGTTTTCCGCGGTTCCGAGGCCGCAGCTCTTACCGCTCGGGCTGATCGATCGTGTCCGTTACCGGGCCGCTGGTTCGGGGTTTCACACACACAGACCCTCACGGTTCTTTAGCTCATGTCGAGTCCAAATAATACAAAAAGATAAAAATAGAGTCGCTGCGGCTCTTCCTCCCCCGCTTCCTGAAACATCGAGCGAGATCCTCCTCATCAAACACACGCGATGGTCACTGAGGCACAATCAGCTTCACCAAATAAACATAATTCTGGCTTTATGTCCATTTCTGCCTGTAATCTTAATTCTATGTTTCAGCCCGTCGAATCTGTTGCTCTACTGCTGGTTTCCCCCGTCGGTAACAGAAGGCCCCGCCCCCTGCGAGTGATTGACAGCCGGACGGTCCAATCACGCTCTCGTTCAAACCTTCTCCATTTAAAGGTAAACGACAACAGTCACGACGCGAGACCGAGCGCTTTTAATAACGCGCACGCGCACATCGCGTTTCTGATGGATTTATCAAACAGTGTTTTACTTTATTCATTTAATAATGAGCCTTGAGAGACTAAATCACAGAAATGAACGAGGGATTTGAAGTGTTCCTCTAGATGTGCCTGTTGCCGCAGTGAGTGAGCGTCTCCTCACAGCGCCCGCTAGAGGCCGCGCGAGGAACTGCAGCACTGAATGGCGAGCAGAGATTACTGTACATTTCCTTGTGTTGTGTATAATGTTTTGGCAATACTGTATGCAAACACAATAAAGCTCAGTAAATCCCTTTAAAATTGATGAGTTTGACTGATTCTTGCAAATGAACGGCCAAAACACATTAAAAGTTTTGTTTTCTGTTAGAGCGGTGTCGTGTTAGCGGTCCAAGTTAACAACTAATGATCTTTACAACGGAAGTGAATCAATCAAAACTAACTTTATCTGGACAATAACTTTATTCTAGATCTGCTGTAAAACCTAAACAATCTGTGTTACTGTGATCTCCTGTTATCACTGTAAAGCTGCTGTGAGGCGTGTGTGTTGTTAAAGCGCTGTATAGATGAAGCTGACTGGACTTGATACTGAATGTTTCTGTGCTATTTTGGAAACTGTTAAAGAAACTGTAGGAAGAAACCGTTGGCTTTCATGCCAGATTTAAAGAATATGGCGTTCAGAGCACAAGATGTGATTTAATTCTGAACAAGCATGTATAGAATCATAATAGACATTACACCAATAATAAACATTACACCAATGTCTTGAAAAGAAAACAACGACTAAGAAACATTAGCAAGGATGCCTGTTATATACGCTCTCTAATAATAGACGTCACGAGTGAGCATCAGAGATCTGCTGTACTGAGCCTCTGAAACAGTGCAGAACACACACACTCCTGGACCAGATCTGCTCTAGTTTACACACATCTGAGTGAGACACACACACACACACACACACACACTCCCCCTCAGCGGATGATGTGCAGCGAGTCCTGTAGTCCTGCATCAGTGTTAGCATGACAGGAGCGGCGGGTTCAGGAAGAGACGAGGCGTTCCTCCACACGTTTATTAGCCCATCCAAACAGAAATCATTACACCACTATTAAAAAAGAAACAGCTCACATAAAACACACAGATTACACCGATGTCCTGAAAAGAAAACAATGACTAAGAGACATTAGCAAGGATGCCTGTTTTACACAACATAAAGTAAATAAAGCTCTCTTGCATTCAATAGTGGCTGTTAGAAACTAACGCTTGAAGCCTCATATGATGATGATGGTGATGATGGTGATGGTGATGATGGTGATGGTGATGATGGTGATGGTGAGCAGCTCTACAGCGACTCACATCCGCTAACGCTCACACACACGTCACGTGTAAAGTCAACACAGAATAAATTAACGGCCGGCGGAGCTCCTGGAGGCGGGGTCGACCTACGACCCCAGGCGGGTGGTGGTGGTCTTGCGGTCCGAGAAGAAGCTCCGCAGCAGCAGCACCTGACTGATGCTCACCACCAGCAGGATGAAGGCCTCGCCCACGGACCAGAAGGCCACGCGGGTGTTGAGGTCCTCGGCCCGGCTGCGGCCCTGAGCCTCGCGCAGGCGGAAGTGCGTCTGGTAGTCGATCACAGACTTCAGGGCCTCGTGGATGGAGACGCAGGCCGACTCCATCTGAAACACAGCAGCAGTCACATGATCAGCTCGGGTCACGTGATCAGCAGCAGTCACGTGTTCAGCTCGGGTCACGTGATCAGCTCGGGTCACGTGATCAGCAGCGGTCATGTGATCAGCTCGGGTCACATGATCAGCAGCAGTCACGTGTTCAGCTTGGGTCACGTGATCAGCTCGGGTCACGTGATCAGCAGCAGTCACGTGATCAGCTTGGGTCACGTGATCAGCAGCGGTCATGTGATCAGCTCGGGTCACATGATCAGCAGCAGTCACGTGTTCAGCTTGGGTCACGTGATCAGCTCGGGTCACGTGATCAGCAGCAGTCACGTGATCAGCTCGGGTCACATGATCAGCAGCAGTCACGTGTTCAGCTTGGGTCACGTGATCAGCTCGGGTCACGTGATCAGCAGCAGTCACGTGATCAGCTCGGGTCACATGATCAGCAGCAGTCACGTGATCAGCTCGGGTCACGTGATCAGCAGCAGTCACGTGATCAGCTCGGGTCACGTGATCAGCAGCAGTCACGTGATCAGCTCGGGTCACGTGATCAGCTCGGGTCACGTGATCAGCAGCAGTCACATGATCAGCTCATGTCACGTGATCAGCTCGGGTCACATGATCAGCAGCAGTCACATGATCAGCTCGGGTCACGTGATCAGCAGCGGTCATGTGATCAGCTCGGGTCACGTGATCAGCAGCAGTCACATGATCAGCTCGGGTCACGTGATCAGCTCGGGTCACGTGATCAGCAGCAGTCACATGATCAGCTCGGGTCACGTGATCAGCTCGGGTCACGTGATCAGCAGCGGTCATGTGATCAGCTCGGGTCACGTGATCAGCTCGGGTTACGAATATAAAGATGTTTATATCAATGGGCGTCAGTTTGGTTTGAAAAGTGCTGGGTACTTTTGAAAGACGTGTCCTGTAGCTTAGGCCTACTGATGTAAATAAATAAAAATGTATACAAAGATGTGATGATGTCCGACCAAAAATGTGATGGGGTTAAATATTAGGCTACTTTGGGTTTAATTGGTCGTACAATGAGATCTGATATGTTGTTAGTGACATGAATTTTCACGTGAATAAACACATAGATCAGCCTAGTGTGCTGTAATGGTCCAGTGGAAGAATTTCTGCCAAGCGTGTCGGAGGTTCTGGGTTCTGATCCGCACTCGAGGGGAATTTTTCCCCTCATAAAAAACGATAATGTTTATCAGTGGTTGTATATCAAGCAGGGACGCGTTTGTTTGCATTTTGTTTTGCTATTTCACCGGAACGAATGGAGAATCTCCGCGGCGGACTGAAGCGCGCGTCCGAGGGAAGACACTGCGGCGCGGGCGCGAGCCACAACAGAACACTGGATCCGCGGCACTGACCGCAGAGGCAACGAGCACATGATCACTGGATTAAAAAAACAACACGTTAGCAGGGCCGGATTAACCATTAGGGCAACTGGTCACTTGCCCAGGGGCACATGACATCTAAGGGGCCTGCGCACCGTCAAATATTATGTTAGATCACGTTATAAACGCAGTCCTCACTTTCCTAATTATATGCATATTTTTGCAACCCATTCGATCAAAATATAATGTTAAATCGCGTCAAAAACAGCGTCTGTATTCCTGCGCAGTGAGCGAGAGCGAGCTATCATGTCGACTCGCGTCGCGTGACTTGACGCTCTGAAATGTGAAGTGATGGAGAAGCAGTTGCCTACGGTTGCCTAACATAAAGGTCTCGACTGTCTAGCGTTATATTTTGCCAACGAAGTCAAATTGAAACTGTGATATTGCTTCGTGCCGTTATAAAACAGCAAAAGACTTTAAGTAGCCTAGGCATTCTGTTTGTGCTGCGTGATTTAAATAGAAGTGCGCACTTTGCTCACGCGATCAGCATGGTGATCTGGTGTTTTCTCCAAAATGAAAGCTCAAGGGTTTATTTCTGGCAATTAAAGAAATTAGGAAAAAAGTATTGTACTTTTCCTATACTGTGTAATGTAATGCAATGCAAAATACTTTTAGGCTACATTTATAGGAGGTGTATGATTTTACGTCATAGGAATAATTATATAAATCATTATTATAATAATTGTTTGGCATCCTAAAACACCAGTGATAATGTAATGCAGACTGAGACTCTATATCATAACTAAAAAGATGTTTGAGCCCTCTTTAATGTCCAGGTACAAGTCAATGCTTTTTCTTTGTTCAATGTGCACAGGGGCGGCAGTGGCTCAGTGGTTCATGTGGGTTGTCTACAAACCGGAAGGTTGGTGGTTCAATCCTCGGTTCCACCTGACCAAGTGTCGAGAACGTGTCCATGAGCAAGACACCTAACCCCAGCTGCTCCCGACGAGCTGGATGGCGCCTTGCATGGCTGCCGTTGCCCGTCGGTGTATGAATGAGTGAGTGAATGGGTGAATGTGAGGCAAAATGTAAAGCGCTTTGGTGGCCATTGGGTCTGTGAAAGCGCTATATAAATGCAGTCCATTTACCATTCATGGGTTAAAGCCGGTTGAAGCTCTTAATTGTGAGCTCTCAAAGTGCACCAGATTGATGCATTTAACCTTAAAATGTACAAAATTTTCTTGCGGGGGAGCATGCCCCCGAACCCCCCTAGAGGGATAGAGTTCCACCCAACATAGTTTTATAAAATCCTATGGGAAACACAGATCATTTATGAAGTAATATGTACAACAAAGTTCCTTTTAAGTCAGTAATACAGTTAATGCCAAATTAAAATGTCCTTGGACAAACTACATTTGGCCTGCCTAAGGGGGGGGGGGGGGGGTCCTACAAGACATTGTGCCCAGGGCCCTCTGAATTCTTAATCCGGCCCTGCACGTTAGCGCTAGATCGCCTCTTATTTAACAAACGAACGAAACGAATGCTCTGCTAGTGAACTGGAGATGTTTTACTTGTATAAGTGGTGGGGACGTGTCCCCCCCGTCCATGACGCCGGTGCTGGTGTTTCGCGTGCGTTCGGCCAATCAGAGAACACTGCCGTCACTTTAGTTCCTATAGCGCTGGGTTAGACCGACTCTGAAGGAGTAAATTAGTTCCGGAAACTTCCACCGATAGCTCCAGGAATATGGAAATGTCCCTCCGGTGCGAAAGCCCCTTCACCCAGCGCTACAGGAACTACAGTGACGGCAGTGTAAATGACGCCTATGTTTATATCACTCATAACTTCTGGAGAAAATAGTGCAGAAAGTGAACAAACGTCAAACGCTGTAGAGCACGCGTGTGTGTCGGCCCTTTCACACTCACTATCACA